TTGAGTAGTGTGAAAACCAAAAATACTGGTAATATCGAGGCATTCCTGCCTAATCAGCGAAGGAGCAGTTTTTCTCAGTGATATTCTGATGAGGAGTAATAAACATATGCAAGTATTCAGTTGACCAATAGTCTGGTCTTCTGATATTTATTCAATTAGGCCTTGGATACAACTGTATCAGAGTTCTGAGCCAAAGTATCAACATCAACCACCGAGTCTGAAGTGCAGTTGACTAGAGATGTCAACAACACCAGCCGTCCATACAAGCTATGCATAGTATACTCTTTCGGAATGAGACCATCAATAACTGACTATGCGTTATTGCTTTATACCATGTACCCCAGTACGGTGATAAGATCAGTAATATAGCGCTTACATCCATATAGGCTGACATTTCGTCTGAGGGACGGTCTCTAGGAAACTAACTGACTACCAAGGTTACTTCAAGTAAAAACTTCGTATAATGAAAAGACTGACACAATTTTTCACTTATGCCTGAACAAATTACATCATGACCAGAACCCATGTCAGTCGCCGACGTTACTACTGAGCTATTCGGGTAGCGATTGACCTCCTGAATTAGGTACATTGATTGGTCACTGAAGCGAAATCAACTTCACCTTGTCTAGTCCTGAGTGCAGACCGAATTCTATCGACTATATTTACAATGTATCCAGCAAGCTTAGCAGTACGGTGCACTATAATGAGTGCTACTAGGTTGGAGGCAATTGACAGGAACCCCGACTGAAATGGGTTTCATACTTGTTGGCATTCCCCAGCAAGGCTTATCTGACATTCTTCTGGTAGCCATATCTCAAAATGATCGACAGAATCGGGTCACTACACTCAGGAATAGACAACATGTTGATTGTTTTCCAGTAACTAATCAATATGAACTGCATTAACCTACTAAATAATGTTTAACTACAACGTCTGCTCATCATTTTTATTCATAATAACGAAGCAGACTGAAAATTAACTGCGAATTCAATTATCTGTGCTTCTTCACTACTGTTGCACTGAAGCTTTCACTTAGAAAAAAGGCTAAGTGGTTTCTGGGGTCAACTAACTAAAGCTTAATGAAAGATAGTTGATATTGTTTTCGTTCCCGTCAGAAATACAACATTCATGTATATACTTTGATGATCAGTAGCCACCTACATACCACATAGGGACTGGCCTAGTCGCGGGAGAATTTTCGGTAGACCTAGAATGCGCAGATGACATAGTCCTGTTAGGTGAAGAAGCTGATAAGATGCAGAGTCCTCTGGACACTTTGAGATGCGTTTCTCGCCACCCAAGTGCAAATCGTTGCTCTAGTACTGGTTTTCAAAGGTGACTCAGCTAATGATAGAGAGTGAAGTGGTTGAGCACATTGAATAGCTTACCAACACCTTGGAAGTCGTATCAGCCCCCATGGTAGCTCAGTGGCCGATGAAATTTCTGCACGAATACAAACGGATCGGTCTGCTTATGCCAATTTACGCCACCTGTGATATCCGATTGTCTATTAAGGTTGCGTGTACTACACAGTAGTTAGCTATGTTCTGCTGTATGGCTGTGAAACATGGCCACTGAAGGTGGAAGACATGAGGTTTCAGGTGTTTGGCCACCGTTGCCCTAGTAGTATGGGTCGTGTTTCGTGGTGTCACCACGTAACCCAGAAGTCAGGTGTAGAGTTTTATACGGGAGAGGTAAGTCAGTTGGTAAGGTTGTGAACCTTTCATCGACTGAGATGGTTGGGACATGTGTTACGTATCCCTAGCCCACCGTCTGCCTCGTCGTCACACAATGTTGGCCAAAGTAGGTTCGGGCTAGAAAAAGGCTCGAGGCAACCAGAGTAAAACATGGCACCAATGCATGAAGTCCTTGACTATTGGTTTGAGCCCTGTAGGGCGATGCAGACTAGCCGATTAGGGTCTACGGAACAAGAGGCTGGAGACTATGTGATATGGCTGAGAACCGATGTCAGTGACCCACACGTATACACACATTATCCTCATTTTAACCAATATACCTAATCTCATCTCTCTCTTTTACTACTTTCTACTTCCTTTAACCGGTTTTTCATTCCTTCTTCATCTTCCATTTTATTGTCTTGTTACTTGATGTATTGATATGAGGTGCGACAACTTGGACTGTTCCGCAATAATGTCTGATCCTGTTTTAATTTTTACGAGTAAGATATGTACACTAGACTAAACTGTATTCGATCAGTCGTGATACATATGATAAGTGGACATTTGGCCTGATTCTTTTCGACTTTAACCGAATAGCTTACCAACAGTCCCTGTTTGAGATAGGAAATAGAATGGAGTATTCAATACTTGGACTAAGCATCCTCCTCCCTTATTATTTCAGAAGGCTACAATGTATTGATGTACAAAGTATCTGGTTCAAGAAGTGAAGAGCTCTACTTGCGAGTAGCATTCAAAGTTTCGCTGCTAATGGCATTTTTCTTTCATCATACAGTTGGATCTCGAGGAAAAAGCCTTCAATGAATAGTGTAACTTATCTAAAGGGTTGAAGTATTAAGACCTCTGTACACTGTAGTAATCATAGTTTCGATGCATTACTGTATTGTCAATAACTGGTAAGTTTCCAAGTCGGTATTCATCATGGACTGATATCAGCGGTGAGCACCCATGACCCAACGACGCCAGGGGTCGAACCCAGGACCTTCAGGTTCCGTGGCCAGCACGTTGAGCCACTGATGAACGCGGTTGTATCTATCATAATACATTGGAGGCAAAACTAATAAATAAGTAGAGTTTGATTCTTCATTTTACTTTAAAATCGGAAACAGAGAGTGAGCTTCTTACAACTCCTCGGAGAATTCAAAGGTACTTAGTTATTGCAATAGAAATCTAAGTATGTTTGGTATGCACTTTGCACCTGTCAAATGCAAGATGACGCTTTAGAACTGATCTGCAAGTATCCTAGTTCAGTGGTAAGGAGTGAAGTGGTGGAATATGTCGACCACTTCATTTACTTGAAGTTGCATTAGCTCGAAAGTGCTGGTTGCTGACGAAATCATAGTTCGGAAACAAGGCCCGTTTTTTTATTTGCCTACTTGCATCATCTCTTGCACCAAGGAGATAGCAAAGGATGAGTGTACTGAGCTGCAGCCTGTTCTGTCCTGATATATGACTATCAGACATGACCTTGAAAAGTAGAAGACACGTAGCGAACAGTGGAGTTTTTGTTTACAGATATCTTCGTAGCGTTGCTGGTGTTTGCTGAAATCAGTGAGTGAGCAATGTTGAGGTCAAGCAGACGATACCAGGCAAGTCAAACAGTGAAGTTGTAAGCCTGACATGGACTGAACATGCACTGCGCATCCTGAACCACGGTCTACCTTGACGTAACATGTTATGGTAAGTTGGATTAGGTTGGAAGAAGGCTCAAGGTGACCAGACGCGGAAGTAGCACTAGTCGGTAAGTCCCTGGCTGGGGTCCTCAAATCGAAAGGAATCAGTAGTTGAAGACACTTCGTGATATGGTTGAAAAACGGTCACAATGGTGCAGATATACTCCCTCCTTCACATCTTCCAAAACTTGAATATTCTCACTGACCTTCAAATTATTTGTTCACTCACACAATTCTGTCTACTTTGGTATCAGTATTTTTCTATCCACTTTTTGTTTGTATTCTACTGTGAAATATGGTAACTTGAGCCGACCCACTTCTGTGAGAGGTTCTACATTGATCGTGTCTGTCTAGTTATTCCCAACTATTCTCCTTAAAGACTAAATATTCGGACATTTTTTCATTACTAACAACCTAATAAGTCTTTACTAATCCGTATTAAACCTTTAGATGATTTTTTGATGGAAGGTACTCTTCAATTTGATGCCAATCGAACTAGTATTCAACACCTGAAGTTGGCAATACATTTCAGTGATGTAATTTCGCACCATTCTCTGTGTATTGATTAGTTAGTACCTAGAAACCTCAATATTTATCTTCACTAGTACAATTTGCCTACAGCTATAGAGCATAGACATAATCAATATGATGGAATTTAGATAACGCCATACATACATACATGTAAGTGAAATCATCATAGGTAGGAAACTGGAAGGTGAACAATAGACAATGCAATACTACCATTGACACGCAGATGGTGATCTCTTCAAGAAAACTAATTTTCAGTTTTCACCAAAGCACTAGATTGGTATCGCAGGAGGATTTATAACTCACCACATGCATATGAAATAATGCTCAGCACGGTGGTTCGCCTTAAAACTGCCTACAAATCACCTTTCTATACTCCATCTGACGAAGACTCAATAACAGAAGAAACAAGAAGCCAGTTTCAGGAAAGGAGTTAAAAACCACCGAAACAATACTGAAGTGTTTTGAAGAATGAGGCAATCCTAGGCGTGATACAATATTACACTAAAAGTTTTCATACTCTGATAAAGCAATTTGCGCTTACAATGAAAGAGAAGAAAAGGAAATGGCGACTACTAGTGATGATGGATAGTGAATCCCAGAACGCGCGTTTCGTCTCATTTAGGACACATCGGGTGGGTGTACTTGCCTCTCAATGAGCGATGTTATTCCTACTAAAACTCAGATTCCGAATTGACCGGTTCAAATCCCAAAGCTTTATCCACTAGGTCATTAAGTCGCGATTATTGCTACCAAACTAAAATTACAGATAACATCGAGGGATACGCGCACGAACCTATAAGCTAATAGAGACCAATCAACGACGGAATATTACAAGCAATAAAATAGAAACTATACCCATCTTAACCAATGGATAACGCTCTAGCGTTTGAAGCGATATGCCCTAGGTTCGAGTCCTAGCGGGGACAATATCACTCACTAGGAGGCAGGTATATTCAGTTGAAACGCACATCATGGATTCTACTGCTAGCCACTATTCATCAGCGATATCAAATATATCGAAAATATAGACAATAATTAGCTATCCGCGTAACAGCCTACATACCAGTAGAGACCGACCAATTAAGTCTAAGCAATGATAGGAAATTTCAAGCAATAACAACAATCCAACTAGTTACAACTTCTAAATTTTAGCATACAAAATAAAGAAGAAAGAAAAGGGAAACTAAATACAAATCAGCTGTACAGAAGATATTAGGTTTTTTATCGAGGAAGATATAACTTTAAATGTGGAATTGTATTACACAAAGGTTGTAGTACATCAGTCAATAGACATGGTTTCAACACAATTAAGTATTCAAATAAACATTTTAGATATGGTGAAAATGTTACTTCCTCTTCACTTTCTAATTTCTTATCCCAAGATAATAAATCAATGAAAGCAATAAGTGGAGGAAGAAGAATTGGTAATAATGTAGGAGAAATTACTGGCCAACAGACTTGTATAAACTCCTTGACAGATTGTAATACAAGTAAGTGGACAGTATTGTATTCAGACAATTCATCAGTATCCGACATAATAATCTAGATTAATGATAAAAGTGACAAAGAATGATGAGTTAGCTTAATTTGGAAAAAGAACTAAAAAAAAATACCTATTATTCTTCATTGTTTTGCTATTTGTATTTCCCTGATGAGAATGTAACACAAAACAAATTTATTTCAACTGTCATCTCGCTATTTAATGCTGCTAACAGACTGATCAAAGTTATAGTAAACTGGAATTGACAATATCCTACAAGCCTATATAGGATAACTTGACAAGTGTTCTTCTGTATGAATGATTCTGTCTTGTTGAAACTGTTGAATAAAGATGATATCCATATGTGTAGTGTGTGTGTGTGAATTACACATTGAGATTTGTATATACATATGTGTTTGATAGTTCTTCGCGCCTCGATGTATGTTGGTTATGTTAGTATGTTGGGTGTGGGTTGAGAATAGGTGAAACTACGTTTTACTCCCTCATTCCTCCATATTTAGACAATTTTGATTCCACTTCATGTGAAGTGATTTTGTTATGAGGTATTCTTTATAATTTATAATGCTTGTCTGAATAATTTCATCAAAGTCGACCTTGTGACCTGAAATTGTAGCATGTAGAGCTATGGCTGAAGTTTTTTCAAGTTTTTACAGTCGCACTGAATTTCAAGGGGATCGGATGGAAACTCTTCGGTGTTCATTTTTCCTAATTTCCATTTCATAGGAATTTTGTCCTATGTATATTGTATCACAGTCTGAGTATTTTATTTTATAAACACTATTCGATTGTGAATGTAGAGGGATCTCGTCTTTCAAATGAACTAAGGTGGTCTGCAATGTGTTTGATGTTCGACAGAACACTCTGGTGATAGGGGGATTTGTTGAGCACTCTCCTAATTTCATCCAATGTGTGTCTGTGATCTATAAGGGATAACTGTTGTTCAGACCCATGATTAAGGAGTAGTTTTAAGACATAATTTAATGTTATTTTCTATTTTGTGAATCAATTTCACGGGATAATTATTCATTTTAAGTATCTTCTTCACATATTTTAATTCCTAAACTCTTCCATTTTCATCCGTTATTAGAGTGTGTGCTTTCCTTAAGAGACTGGAGGGAACAGAATCTTGCGGACTAATCGGATGTGATGAGTTGACATCTAAATACTTGTTTGAATCCGTTACTTTCCATTTTCTTACCGCTTAACAAGACAGTCAAGGAAAGGTAGTTCTCCCTTATCCGTTTCTTTTATGAGCTGAACTTGATACTGAGAGTTCTAGAGTTCAGTTGATCTAAGAATGCCTGGTATAAATCACGTTTTAAAATTACGAATGTATCCTCAACATATATCAGCTAAATTGTAAGTGAGTGAAGACACTTTCTTCGAATTTACTCATAAATGTGTTTGCTACTATGGGTGAAATAGGTGAACCCATAGCAACACCATTAGTTTGCCTGTATACTTTTCCTTTATATGTGAAGTAAGTAACCTCTAAGCAGAATTTTAGGGACTTGATGATATCACCGGTATTCAGTGGACATCTTTCTGTCAGTGATGTGTCTCAGTCTAATAAATTAGAAATACTATTTAGGCTATCATTCATTAGAATACTAATATCTGGAGAATTGATGTTATAGCTTACCATAATTTCATCTTCCTCAATTTTAGTGAAGAAATTTTGGATTTAAAATCAACTGAGTCCTTTATTGTGTATTCTGGCTGCTTTTGTAGGGGGTTTAAGTATTGAAGCCAGATAATTGGAGAAGTTGTATGCTGATATGTTGGTGAAGTCCACAATTGGTCTCAGTGGAATAGAAGGTTTGTGAATTTTGGGTAGACCGTAGAATCTTGAGGGTATGTATGACTATGGTTTCAATCTGAACCAAATTGAGCTGCCGATTTTAGGTGTCAGTTCTTGAAGTGGTCTATTCGTGTTCAGTTTCATTTTGTTCACTTCGGTGGATCTTTTCTTCGTATCAATTAAAGTATATGATGCTTCAGATAAGTGTTCGCTTGCTTTCTTCTCATAATCTGTTTATAATGACTGTTATATCTCCTTTATCTGCTTTTGTTATTATAATGTTGTTGTCTTTCCTCAAATTGTTCAGGGCTTGAAATTCTTGTTTGGCGATATTGGAAGTGTATATTTTTTGGGTTGCGAGGATATGTGAAATTTTATGACGTACTACCTGCGCCACGTCGTTAAGTAGGGTTTCTAAAGCCGGTTCGATGATTGGTGCTATCTCACCAGTCAATAATTTAATGCAACTAAAAATTGTCTAAATATGGAGGAATGAGGGAGTAAAACGTAGTTTCACCTATTCTCAACCCACACCCAACATACTAACATAACCAACATACATCGAGGCGATAAGAACTATCAAACACATATGTATATACAAATCTCAATGTGTAATTCCACACAACACACTACACATATGGATATCATCTTTATTCAACAGTTTCAACAAGACAGAATCATTCATACAGAAGAACACTTGTCAAGTTATCCTATATAGGCTTGTAGGATATTGTCAATTCCAGTTTACTATAACTTTGATCAGTCTGTTAGCAGCATTAAATAGCGAGATGACAGTTGAAATAAATTTGTTTTGTGTTACATTCTCATCAGGGAAATACAAATAGCAAAATAATGAATAACATTTACCCGTTGCTCAAATCTTTTCTAACCATCTACTCTCAACTTGGTTTGCATATCTATATTCCTCAATTATATCTTCATGTTTAGTTCTACACTAATATACAGCTTTACAATTCAATCAAAAAACCAATCAAATGGTGGGTAGTTGATGAACAAGCCATGAAGATGATAAGTCTGAGAAATCAAGATGCAAATAATCAACTGAGTAATTATACGCGATTAAAAATGTTAATTATAATGATTTGAAACAGGTTATTCTTAGGCTAATTGTATAGTATCATTATGACTATCTGAGTGAGATAGCCGTGGTTTTGCAGACTAGTATTGACAATGAGGTGGTGATGATTAAAGGTGAAATGAAAATTTGAACAGCCACCGGATTCGAACCAGCAACCCTCGGGTTTCCGGCAGTTGGGCCTTGTAACTCAGTTGGTAAAGGACCGAGCCAGAAACCCGGTGATCGCTGGTTCGAAGCCGATGGCTGTTCAAATTTTCATTTTACCTTCAATCATCACCCAGTATAAATTGCATAGTAACTGTTAAAGTAGTTGCAGTGTTTTTTCCTCTCCATTAGTCATTTATAAACAATTGATAATCATGTAAGAACAAGAAAACAAATGAATATTACTACAACAACAGGGGGAAGAGATGTAGCAAATAATACTAGAAGTTACATCATGTTAACAGCCCACAGTAATGCAAGTGACTGGACGAATTTCCTTTGGATACAAAGGATAGGTTTGTACAGTTGGATTGCGACCGCCTATGCTATGAGAAATAGAGGAATGAGTAATCCATGTGGCAAATTAAATGGTGTACGATGAATCATTCTAAATGCCTTGCTAGTATCTACTTGATGTCCAGTTTCAACCAAGTGGGCAAGTATGAAGCTCTCTAATGTTCTAACCTGTCTCTTATTCAGATATGATGCTCAAAAATTCGACAATGGATCTACCTCATCGTACGTCTAACTCTACAGGAGCATTTGAACTGATAAACGCATATGGAAGTTGTAGAATCAACCAATCTGTTTTCATTTCTTGCACTTAGAATCGTGCAGCTGTAGAGGATGGGACATAATTTAGCGGCTGGGAATGCTCTTTCCAAGGCTGTTTTTATGCATTCTGAGATGGTTTCATTAACAATATCAATCTTGAGTTCCAGTTTCAAGAAAATTTGCTTCTTAAGAAGTTTTAGCATTTTTCATTTAATCCTATTACAATTGGATAGGCTTAGTTACAAACTTTACGGGATATCTATTCCGACTAAGTAGGTAGGTCATGGATGGTGGTGAACTCTTCTTCTATAGGATCATCAGAATGAACGACTGTGGTATGACATGCTGGGCGTTTCCCTAGGCTTCACTCGTATTGGGAGGGGCACAGCACCAAAGAAGTGCGTGTACGTCAATATTGGCTTTCTGTATATGCTTCGTTTCAGAGTTCCATCTAACCTTCTTAGCAGCAGAACATCAAGAGATATACTTTGATCTAATTCATCAGACTAACTTTACTTCATACATAAAACAAATCCAAAACGAACTTATAATCTTAATGACTGTTCATACCAACAGTCAGAGACTGAATGAACTTATATCTTAGTTTCGCCATCTCTAACCATTTTCCAGCCTGAATCTAATACAGTTAACATCTTGCAACGAAGCAAGTGTAATACCTATCCCAGTCATCTGAGTCGGTCACAATCTTATCAAATGACTTACCTCTTTTACTCAAACTCTATGTCTGACTTCTATGTTACTGACGTCATGATACCATGGCACATGGCCTATGTTACGAAGCCAACGGTGGTCGAATATCAGAAGCCTTATTATATCCCATAGCTCTAATGGTTGTTTCAAAACCATCGATTTATGAAAGTCAGTTATGAAAAGGTTTTTCGAGGAGGAGAAAGAATAGTTTAGAATAACATGATTCTATCTGTTAGCATAGTTAAACGTGTGATAAAAATGACCGAAAATACAGTGTGACATCTGTAACGCATTCGAAATGTTACTTATTCACCTTCCAGTTTCGATTTCTAGACTTCCTCACCTCTTCGTTGTCAAGCTCTAACGCTTGTCACTTATCTTTTACTGTTAAATGTAAGTACATTTTGTGTACTTGTTTAGTCATCGGACCCTCTTTTTTCTCTTCCTATTTTCCCTTACAGATTCTCAAGGTCACCACCAAACACTGCTTTACACACCCCTGCAACAAGGTACCTCTACCTACAGGCTAAATGAAAACGTATCAACAGCTGGTCATTATATTTTTGGTGGTAGAGGTAGGATGTGGTTCTCTCACAGTCAGACCGACATGCACTCAGCAGTGTCTAAGATCCTAAGTTCTATAATTCTCCGACGCCTGAGTGGAGCTCGGGAACAGCAAGCCCGAGAAAACCAGGCAGGCTTTAGACCTGGCCGTGGATGTATCGACCAAATATTCACACTGCGCCAGGTCCTGGAACATAGGCATGCTTACAGACGCCCGACAATAGCTGTATTTCTCGACCTGAAGGCGGCATTTGACTCCGTTGATCGAGAAGTCTTATGGCAGTGTCTGTCACTGAAAGGCGTGCCTAGTAAGTACATCACCTTATTGAAAGCTCTCTACTCGAACACTTGTGGGCATGTTAGAGCCTATGGTGAGTTGTCCAGGGAGCTATACTCATCAAGTGGTGTCCGTCAAGGATGCCCACTATCCCCATTCTTATTTAATTTTATCATAGATATTCTTATGGAGGTTTCCCTCTCGTCACCTAATTACACAGACGTTGACCCGATCACAGGTGAATTTTCCTTAGATCTAGAATATGCAGATGACATAGTCCTGTTAGGTGAAGACGCTGACAAGATGCAGAGTCTTCTGAACACTTTGAGTGGGAATTTGAGAATGTTTGGGATGCGATTTTCACCACCCAAATGCAAATTTTTGCTCCAGGACTGGTCTTCAGCGGTACCGCGGTTAACAATAGAGAGTGAAGTGGTTGAGTGTGTTGACCACTTCACTTACCTGGGAAGTAGGATCAACCCGGTGGGTTAGTTGCCGATGAGATTTCTGCACGGATACAAAAGGCTCGATTGGCTTTTGCCAATTTGCGCCACCTATGGCGCCGCCGTGATATTCGTTTGTCTATTAAGGGTCGCGTGTACTGCACAGCAGTCCGCTCTGTTCTACTGTATGGCTGTGAAACATGGCCATTGAAAGTGGAGGATACAAAAAGGCTTCAGGTGTTTGACCACCGTTGCCTTCGTAGTATAGGACGTATTCCGTGGTGTCACCATGTGAGTAATGCAGAAGTTAGGTGTAGAGTTTTAGGGAGAAGAGGTAAGTCAGTCGACGAGGTTGTGAACCTTCATCGACTGAGATGGTTGGGACACGTACTACGTATGCCTAGTCACCGATTGCCTCGTCACACAATGTTGGCTGAGGTGGGTCAGGCTGGAAAAAGGCCCGAGGTGGCCAGACTAAAACATGGCACCAATGTATGAAGTCTCTGACTGTTGGTTTAAGCCATGTAGGACGATGCAGACTAGGTGGTTGGGGTCGACGGGACAAGAGGAACCAGTGGTTGGAGACCCTAGGTGATATGGCTCAGAACCGAAGTCAGTGGCGCAGATGTATACACACATTATCCTCATCTTAACAACGCTATACCGAATCTCACTATTTTGTCACTCCTCTTTCCTTTCTTCTCATACTTTATATTTCTTTTGACTGCATTCACTTATCTTCATCCTTCACCTCACTACCTTTTTGCTTGATATGAGGTGTGGCAACTCGGACCGTTACGCAGTAATGCCTGGTCCTATGTTGATAATGATGATGATGATGATGCACTCAGCAGTAGCCATTCATTCGAATGTAACTCACACTAGCTTCATATACCATACCTAGCCTAACTCACCTGGGTATAACCAGACACTGAGGACAGTGCCTCCAAAGAAGGGGGAATAGTGTAACACATCCGAAATGTTATTCATCCATCTTCCAGTTTTGATTTCTAGACTGTACGTACATCCTGTGTACTTGCTGAGTCGTCAGCTTACCTTTTTTTTCTTCATCTTTTCCCTTCCAGATTCTCGTGGTCACCACTAAACTCACACTGCTTTACGCGCTCTCCTCCAACAACGTGCCTGCCTACAGGCTAGATGAAAACATATTAACAGTTGATCGTTACATATCTAAACAGTTGGATGATATAAAAAGAAAGAACTCATTTAATACAGTACAACTTACATGCTTAGGCTTTTGTGGACCAAGTAGGATATGCGATACAATTCTTGTAAATTGTTGAGTATAGAGTGAGAAAGATGCTTTTAAGATATTGATCAACTTTAATAGGTGTTGAAGTAGAACAATTTGACGCTTATATCGATTTTCCATTAATAGATCAAATAATAGCCTTTCAGTTATTTCATTATACCAATGAGATGCATTTGAAACATCCAATAAACTTGTTAATAATAATAGAGTTGAATAGACTTCATCAAGTAGAGCTTCTGATGAATCTGAACTATTAGCAATTCTATGAACTAATAAGTGAGAAATTACCGCTTCAGCACGATTACTCTGACGCCAGTCAGCAATTCGAGCTTTATGTGCTAAATTACGTAAAACACTAAGTCCAGCTGATTGTATACACGGACGATAGTCTTCTGTTAATCTCAAGCCTAATGGTTGTAAAATAGAAATGAATTCATCTCCAGCAAGTTCAGGATAATCAAGTTCCATAGTTAACCAGATAAGAGTATCACGAAAGAGAGGAGATTTTGTTAATGAATCATCAGAATTCTCAGATGTCTTTGCTAAATGACTAACACAAAGTTTTAAGATTTGTGAGGCTAAGTTAGAGGAACTACGAAGTTTTGAAGACTGAATAGGCTCTAACAATAATAAATTTCTGACAGATTCCACATTACATCTACTTAATAACATGTTTAGAACTTCTTCGATGAGTGTAAGAAGTGTGTTATCTATACATAGTTTACAGGTGGTATATGTATTCCCCAAAATACCACCTAAAAGTATAAGAGTATATGGTGAAGGCACATTGTTAACTATTGACTTATTAGCCAGTATACGTTTAATACATGTACAAGTATCCATATATATTTGAACTCGTTTAACCCAAACAGACTCTGAGACCAGAGCTTCATGTTCTTCAAGTTTTGATGATTCGACAATTTCTTTGGATTTGAATAAAATCTCACTAGAAGACATGATAAGATGAATTCGATGAGTAGGCAAACAACTTTGAACAACGTTGAAATAGTTATGGAGAATAGTTGATTGAATTCCACAATGTTTTTTATATTGTCCGCTAAAATACAAAGTGAAGAATATAAATTAAGTCCTCTAACAAATTATAAGCTTTTAAATCGTTTACAACAACCAACAGGACTATTTCATCTATGTAACATAAGTTTATTTAGGGATCTCTCGTAAAAAGATGAATTCCAATGAGACTAGACGAGGAGGGAGAGACCGCTGTAAGTAGTTCCTTAATAAATTTAAAGAGTGAATACCCCTAATAGAGACCATTTTATACAGGCATCCGAGGGGATGGTTGATAATATAGTCTAATACAACTATGAGTATACAATTGTAGAGCAAGAACTAATCACCCGCCTCTTCTTGTGACAAATATTGCTCTATAACACGAACCGACGGAGATAAATAAATGACGTTTTTAGCCCTAGAAATACAACTACTGTTTGTGGCGCTATATGCACATCTATTTCCCATGATTTGTTAGAGAATGAAGATCTCGACAGTGAATACACAGCTTGAAGCCTATCTGTTTACATTCAGTTTGCTGCTCTCTAACTCCAATAAGGCATCGAAACACTAGGAGATGTACTACTCAAGCTCGTTCTTCTGAAAAAACCAACGACTGATAAAAACTAGAGTCATATCTGAATTTCAAACTCTACTTAATACTTCAATCACCATAACTCATAACTCTCGATCACTAACCTTAAATACTTCCGATTACCACCTAACATAACTCACTAACTTATAGCTTTCGTGCTCATCTCCAGGAGGGCAACTGTAACAATAGATATAACACTTTCAGTACCACATAGATTCCCTACATGCATCCAACGTCTTACAGACTAAATCTCACAAGAATATTTGGTTGACTTAAAGTATGCAAACGATATTGTCCTGTTAGGCGAAGACGCCAAAAATATGCACAGCCATCTGAAAGTCTTGAGCAAAGATATGAGTATGTGTGGTATGCATTTGCACCCGTCAACTGTAAGATGACACCTCAGTACTGGTCCGCATCAGTTTTGATTTTAAAGACAAAAGGTAAAGTGGTAGGATGAGTTGATTACCTCACCTGTTTGAGGAGTTGTATCACTCAGGATGAGTTGATGCTGATAGAAATTGAGCTCAGATTCAAAAAGCCCATTTTACATTTCTTACCTGAAGTCCACTTTTTCATAATGTACGGCTGTAATAAACAGTCGTGAGGAGGAGGTTTCTGATTGAAGCATTCCTTGCGTAGCGGAATCACTAAGTAAGCAATGTTGAGATTACACATAGAGTACGGAGGGAAGAAAATGAGGTTGTGAACCTTCATGGACTAGGGTGATCTGGACATGCCAAATCACCTGTCTCATCATGTGATGTTGCCCAAAGTAGGACTGGGTTGTAAACAAGCTAAGGGTGGCCAAACCAAGACGTGGCACCAATCTATGAAGTCTGACTTTTGGTCTGAACCATATAGGTTGCTTGGTTGAGAACCTCAAGAAGATAGGAACCAGTGATTGAAGACTTTGATACGGCCTAAATGACACTTTTGTCATCCTCCACATTTTTATCACTAACTAGTCTTCATCTACTTATTCGTGAATATGGATAGGGAATAATGTCAAAAATGTCATCCAGTAAATAATGTTTTACCGTATGATATATCTAATAAACAAACCAAGATGGAAGTAAAAGTAAATTAACAAAGAGAAAATTTAAGCAGTAGTTACTATGATGAACGTTCTCTTAAATGATGACCACCTGTAAGTTACGGAGTTGTGGCTCATTGGTTTAGGGAGGTGACTTTCAACTAGTGAATCACGGGTTTGAGTTCCACTCCACTTACCGCAGTATGCGCAGCCAGATAGTACCAGTAGCTCTCACATAATAGATATGGCTCATTGCCCACTGCATGAATATCAACAAGGTTGCTGAGTCCATTTCGACTTGTACGCCATCACATAGCTTTGTGAGTATAAGCAAAATGATTCAAGAGACATTACACTTCTCAGATTAGAAATACAGGGGTAGGCATTATAGAACCCGGTATAACTTCAATTAAACTTTAAACCATATCATGGTCAGATTCAGTGAAAGAAACGAAATCAATGACACCAGCTGTCAAACAAAACAAAGAAAAGATGAATGGAATACAAATAGGTTTTTACATCTTCAGTGATCCCTCCCCCAGACATCATTGTAAAAAGCCTTGGTTGGCGAAATTAAATCCCATCAAAGAACTAGGTAACTTAGCTAGTATGAGGTTGCTCATCAGTACAACTATGTTCTGAAATCCAACAAACCTTTAAGAAATTCTAGGATTGGAATTCCATCCATCATACAACCCTAACTGCTGCCTAAGATGGGTATTTTTCACTGAGATGTGTGGAAACTGTATGTTGTTATTAGACGTCACACCACTCTTCACAGATATTTCTTCGATAGAAATGATTTATGATCAACAAACTTGGAATTGTAGCTCCTTAAAATTGCTTTCACGACGTAAAATTCAGATTTAATAATGAAATTTATCGACAAAAAGATAAACTAGCAATAGATTCACCACTGAACCTTCTCTTAGCTGACTGCTTTATGACTGGTCTGGAGAACAGTAACCCGCACCAATTGATCGACCACTTCCATCTATATAAGAGACATGTATGGCATTTTCATCATCTGTGGGGAGAACAGTAACCTTGGAGATGTACTGAAAAAGTTCAATGTAGGTCACAAACCAATTAAATTTACAATGGAAAGTGAAAATAAATTAGAGTCTCACTAGCTGGATGTGCTGTTGATAGTTCCCTAAGAAGATTGGTTTACAGGAAATAAGTCTGGAGTGGAAAATATAACAATTTCTAAAGTCCGGTTCGGTTAAGCAAGAAAAAAATATAATTTACTTGCTGTGCACAAGAACTAGAATTTGTATAGATGATGCAGTAAGTAAGGGGCTAGGAGTAGTTCAGAGTGCTCATCAACATAAATCCTAAGCATTACCAAGAATGAACGTCTAAGGTTTCAAAGGAGACACAATTTATGAATATTGGGTTTGAAGGAGATACAATGACAGATTCTCAGGAATTGATTGTGTAAAGCGCTGAAGAAGACCTTTTCTGCACAACTTCGGATTGGGTTAACCAGCCAGGAACTAATTTGAGGGTAGGGAAAGGATAAGCCGTGCTTTGGACTACCCACACCTTTGTCAACAGATTCACCTCCTCTTGTGGAGCTGGTTACATAGACCTCACAAAGCGTGTTTTATTCAAATGCATTTCCGAATGCTATCCCACATGGCTATCTAGAAGAGAATGGAAAGTGACTAACAGCTTGATTCTTGAGCATCTGATTAACTCTGATCTATCAGAATTTTCCACTAGATTCAGTTATGAAAACAAATCAAAATTTTGAGGGAAATGCGGATTCGCCGCCTGAACCCAGCAGAAACCACAGCAATTTATCAGTTTAGGCCCGATATCCACGTTCGAAAGAGGTACGGGAAATCTGCAATTTCGCCTTGGTCACTATCTCCCTAAGAACTTTGATCTATTTACTATTTGTTGGTTTATCTACTTTATTTATCAACATTATTCTCACCTCCGTTTCTCACTCAATAATCGTGGATTTCAGTAGGAATTTCCCACCCTTTTAACCTTTTTTATCACTTTACAGACCACATTGTAATCACCTTATAATAACCTGGGATTAAAATCACAGCCATTATGATGACATGGCAAATAATCAAGCAAATTTCGACAACCTAGCAATAATCACTTGTATGCAAGAGTTATAACTCTAGTAATAATTTTTGATGATTTTGTGTTGATTCATTAACCACTGATGGCCATATATTACTGTTGCGAAAATAAACATGAATGAACAGCTTCTAAAAAATATTCGTCGAAAAGAAAATTTTACTTTTTAAATAGTCTTTTTCCAACTTCTCACGACTCTGGTCCTACAACTGGTAATTGCGAAAATACCCGACAAGTAAACGGGAAGCAAACTCCTGGACCAAAAATAAGTAGACCTCGGCAACTACCATGAAAAAGAAGTTAAAACGACAAATATAGGTAGGATCAACTCTACGATCCGTCTGAAATCAAGAAAGCTCGACTTCAAACACAGTAAGATACACATGTGTGTATTTTCACGGAAGAATTCGCTACATTATCAAGTTAAATAGCAAATATGCTATGTGTAAGGAAAAGCTGTTGATACGTTTTCATCTAGCTTGCAGGCAGGCACGCTGTTTCAAGGAGGCACGTAGAGCAGTGTGAGTTTAGTGGTGACTACGAAAATCTGGAAGCAAAATGAGGAAGAGAAAAACGGGGGCCGATGACTCGGCAAGTACACAGAGTGTACTTACATGTAGTCGTAAAAGATAACGGACAAACGGTAGAGCTGAACAACAAAGAGGTGAGGCAGCCTAGAAGTCGGAACTGGAAGGTGAATGAGTAATAATACAAATGCTTCACATACCCAGCTAGTGACGCACCCGCTGTAAGAAGCGGGTAACTTTAGTTCGAATTTCAACTTTAAGCTGTATTGATAGCAAAGGATGGTTCCTTGGATTTCACATTTTTCCTGGTGAAAAACTCTTGTTGTTTAGGACAGCATCAGTTCTTCTGCCAATCACTGCAAACGTGGAAGAATGTAGGGAATTATCGATTAATGAACTCTCTGCTGCTTCTTATGGCCTGTGATACAATAAGAACCTCCTTGAGTACAACATTTCTGTAGCTCACCACTCTAGTTACACATATGACCTCTCAAAAGCAAGAAAGAAGTGGTCATAATAACCTTTATGGAGGGAATCCCACAGTTTACACACCCTTCGAACGTGTAACCACGTGTCTACGTATGTGCTCCCGTAAGTTACTTTCCTAAAGGATAGTCTCTAATGTAAGGCTACCGAGAAAAATTTTAGAGCGAACTGTTGGGATGGATGGAATTATGGGTGATATTATACACCATGATAATATTTCATCTATCGCTCCTCTCTTGTACTGGTTGCAGTTTAGGAGTGACTAACCTATCTGGGTAAAGTCTTACAGTAGGTCAATCACCTTTTTCACAGCACGTCTCTTATTCTCTTCCAGGGTGCCGTATTCTTTTCGAGTTTAAGGGTACAGCTGGCGAGTTTTCCTCTGCATTTGGACGAGTAGTACAAGTACTCTTGTTAAAAGACCCGGACTTATTCTTCCGAAGCTACAAGAAAGGGTAGGGCTTCAAATGCCTCGTCTGCTACAAGATGACAATGGGTGAAAGCTCTAAATAAGTTAATAGTAGTGAATCCTATGCCTTCTTCAATGTTTGAAGGACAGATGTTTGTTTCCATCAGGGAGCGAAGCCTAGAATTAAATCCAAATCGGTCTGCGGTCATTATGAAACACGCACCAAAAGTGAAGCGAATACAGAAAAAAGCAAGGAACAACTGAAAACGTCCCTGTTTTGATGTCTTTGAACTTTTTTATTCTATCCTGTTTTTAATTTTTCTAGTATAAAACAAAAATTTTAAGTAAAAGACATACGACATGAAAACAGCGTAAATGCGCACAGTGATAAAATATTTGCATCCTTAGGCAGACCTTCAGTGCAAACGTTGCGCTGGGACTAATTAACAAAATCTGCCTACCGTTTAGACTGGTGCACAAGCCTCCCAGTAGGCGTGAGGGTACTGTATCAGCGCTATTTGCTGTGGTTTTTCCAGTAGACCCAGGATATTTGCGACCACAAAAGTTTGTTCCAGGGTCCGCCTGCAGTGGTTTTTCTGGTCTTGTCGATGCGCGGGAAAGTGGATCCTCTTCCATGTACTCTGAGTCCAAGAGACTGACGCTTGTGGTGTCTTGCCACCCTAATTAGTCGATGGTGAAGAAATTCTCCGACTCGCTGGTAACTTTGAATGGTTAGTCGCATGGTGGTTGTAAGGGTTTCTTGAGAAGGGTAGAGCGCTGAAGTTTCACTGTTTTCTCGTCTGGACCGTGAGGTTCAGCAATCTCCAGCAAGCCAACCGTCCGAGTTAAAGTAGTGGTGCGAACACGAGACTGTATCTGATACGAGGTTGTTCTCACCAGAAATGTGACGGATGTCTGGTATGAATTGCGAGATGTAGTCTAAGTGCTGTAATTCGCTGGTGAATATTCATCTGTGGTGAAGGGTGCAGAGCGTAAGTCAAATATCAGTGGTCGGTAAACAGTGAAATCACGGCCTCCCACAAAGTGGTTAGAGCGCTTGACTGAAACATATATGGCGAGCGATTCCTGACCGAAAGTTCTATACCGCATTTCGCGGGGAGGGTAGCTCCTGTGGGGAAAGTCCAAGTGTGATCCGGAGTCGCTGCAACACATCTTCAATGGCCATGTTAGGGGCACCAACAGTAATGCTCGGAGGAAGGTTAACATCCCGATGGGCCAACAATGTGGCATCTGCTAATGCGTTTTTGACCTTGCAAAATGCTTCTAATGCCTCAGGATACATGCTGAAATTCTCATGCCTTTCAGCAAGCCGGTTGACGCAGCTAAAATGTACGTACACTGGGTGCCGAACGATGATGATGGCTCATCACCCCCAGGAATGTACGCAGTGCTCTGAATGACGTTGCTTCAGGAAAACCTTGGACTGCATGTGCCTTTCAAGGTTGTGGGTAGATGCCATGTCGTCGACTTCATGACCAAGGAAGGTCGGTGAACAGACACCAAGGGAGAACTTGGCCAGATTTGTGGTAAACGGGTGTTTGTCAAGCCCGGCGAAAATTTGCTGCAAGTGTATGTGAAGGCTGCCCCCACCTGAGCTCACGACTGGGATATCGTCGAGATAGGCATGAGGAAAGTCCGAGCAGAGCACTATGTCGTGGATGGAACGCCGGAAGGTCTGTCCGGCGTTTCGTAGTCTAAAAGGAATGCGGAGAAATCCAAACAGACCGAGCGGTGCTTAGACCACTGCGTACGGTATGTCTACCGAATGTACGGGTATTAGATGGTAGGCGCATTTCGGGTCACGTTTTGCCGAAGGCCGTCCCTCCTTTCGGAGCAAAAGTCAAGTCGTGCATATGAGGACCCGTTAACGATCTGGAATGGTATTAGCATTGAGCCTTCGGTAGTCAATAATAGGCCTCAAGTCTACGCCACTCTTTTCCAGCGCCATATGCAAGGGCAAAGACCACGGGCCTCCAGGTGGTTCGATTATTCCCATCTCAAGCTTGTGTTGGTACCCGGCCTTGGCGGCACGCGGTTTCCCCGGAGATAACCGCTGGGTTTGGCGGAAGCTGGCGGACCAGTCGTCGTCATGCGATGCGAAACTTTGGAAGTCAAACAGCGTAAACTACGACTTGGCTTGAAGATAACCAGAGGAGAGTGAATAATAGACACGCAAGGACTGGAAGTTACCGTCATAGAGTTCACTTGGCAGACAGAGGACGTCTGTGCAACAATACGGGAATATTTTTGACAACGACGATTCGAACGGTACTGCAGATCAAGCTCTGCCTAGATATATGTTGCCCAAGTGAAAAGCTTTTTCTGCTTTTCGATCGTATATCCTCTCCCCAGCTTAGGAAACTAAGACGAGAAAAAACAAAACAAGGTAAGTGATAATCCTCGTGCCCGTCGATTGAGCGTTCCAATTAAGTTGGAAGCCAAAAGTCTGAGCCTAATATGCAACCAGAAACTTTGGTCATACAGATGCCGTTCCAGCATGTAGAAACTTCTTAAAGACCTCACAGGTAGTAAACATCCTAGCAAAGAAGCATATGTAGACGTCTTCGCCTTGAACGGATAGTTCACGCGTCAACCCACTCGTGCGACCCCACTTTGTCTGCCTATATCCAATGCAGAACCATGTCCAAAGTTCACCGTGAAGGATGTTTTCAAATGTCGCAAATCCCTGAACCCTTCTCACAGTCCAAGTCTGGATGCTTTACCGAGCCCCTGATTCACGAAGTGGGCTGATATTTTGTGCCATCCATTGGCCAACACGTTCAAGGGATAGTTTTTAGAAAACACCATACCAGCTGCCTGGAAAAATATTAAGACAGTCCCCGTACCTAAGTCTAGGACTCCAAGTGCGTGTAGAAAAACCATCCGATTTCAGTCACCCCTCCGTTCTTAAAAATGGTGGAGAAGCCCATAATACCTTTGCTGGAGCCCTCGCTAAAGGCTTTCGGAGACCACAGTCAACTTGTATTTAAAAACAGAAGCAGCACCTCGGATGCCACCACCCTCCTATATCACGACATTACTTAAAGTCCTGATAAAAATGCCAATTATGTCAGGCGTGCGTGTTAAGCTGTACTTCGGCATCTGACCCTGTCCCGGGACCTCCTTTACTAGACAAGCTGACCAGGAGAAATACTGAGTCCTGGATAATCAGCACTCTACTCCTCTGATGGGAGACAGCGCACTGTTCTTGGAGGGAAGTGCCCCACCTTGTTACTTACGGTGGCTGGAGTTCCCTAAGGAGCCATCCTTTCCCCGCCCCTCTCTGCATGACCCACCATCTTCAGCTGGCATCAATTTTGTTATATATTTTACGTATTTCATATTTTATAAGCACCTGCATCTTGCCTGCCCTCCTTTGTTGCTCTCTTTTGTTTTTTCCTGGGTTGCTGAAAAAATACTATGCTATATGCGTGGAGCTTTGAAGATCGTCAGTAGAACTAGTGATGTGGCCGTTAACCTTCTGGTTAAAACTATTGTGGATAAACATAGTAACCCGTGTAAACATCTGGCAGGAGTTATTTTATCAGACGACGGGCGCCCTCTTCAGCCGAAGCTCTGTACACATCAGTCATCTGAAAAGGCGAGAAGCAAGTGCATAACACTGTGCACGTACCACAAAGTATGAAAACTCAGTTATACCCTATTTAGCTGGTCTTCTGTGTGGCTAAAAAAGTATTAGGAATGAACTCACTAGTAAGCTTCTGTTTTTGAAAGCAAACTAACCGAAGATAAGCGTGTTACTTTTCACACATTATGAATCCACAGCCAACGTGACTGTCTACCTGAACTGACTGTGCATTTTAAAGAAAGTCGTAGATAGAGAAAATATATTTTTATCTTTTCTCCACGTAATTTCTGTTCATTTCATTTTGCTATGTATGCATATACACTGCCTCTATCCAATTGCTGATATATGACGTGCTGAAAACTCCGTAGGGTATTCCCGGAGTAACTTTCGGAATAAAGCCGTTACCGTCATTATTGTTATTATTAACGTCTGTGAAACTAACACAGGCCAGAATGCGACTGTTCCGATTTGGGATGCCCGTTGCCAGCGCGGGAGGTAGATCTGCTGCGCCAAAGAGACCTGCGACTGTAGGAAAAATCACTAGACTGCGTTTCTCTCCTGATGATGCACAATTTCCCGTACAAATTAATGATGTGAACTATGACGTGGAGACTCAATAGTTGACTTCTTGAAGGGGTAAGAGGTCGCCGTGCCGGTCGGCGGCAGTAGATGTTGCGGCTGAAACACTCGTGTTAGGCTTGGTAGCGTCTATGGCTCCGTCAGCCCCCTAATCCGGC